CCAGGAACAGCTCGCTGCTGGCCATTTAAGACATTCTAATAGTTTATGGAATACTCCTATTTTTGTCATTAGAAAGAAATCTGGTAAATGGAGACTCTTACAAGACCTTAGGAAAGTAAATGAAATGATGGAAGTCATGGGACCTCCACAACCTAGTCTCCCTTCGCCTGTTGTTGTTCCTCAAAATTGGGAATTACTAGTTATTGATTTGAAAGACTGCTTCTTTTCCATCCCCTTGGCACCTCAACATTGCTGCAGGTTTGCCTTCAGTGTTCCTGCCACGAATTTTGACAGGCCTTTTGAGCGCTATGAATGGGCCGTTCTGCCTCAAGGTATGGCGAACAGCCCCACCTTGTGTCAGAAATTTGTTGCTCAGGCAATTGCTCCCCTCCGTGAGCGCTATCTGGATGTTCTTTTGCTACATTATATGGATGATCTCCTTTTGGCCGCTCCTTCCTTCGGCCTCCTACAGGAAGCCTTTTGGGATTTAAGGGACCTCCTTACAAATTCAAACTTAGCTATATCTCAGGATAAAGTCCAAAAGGTAACTCCTTTCCATTACTTAGGTCGCCTCACTGACTCCAATCAAGTGTCCTGTAAGACTCCTGTCTTCTCTACTGCCCATCTCAGTACATTAAATGAGTTCCAAAAGTTTTTGGGAGACATTAATTGGATCGGACCTAGCCTTAAATTAACTACTGGTCAACTCAAGCCTCTTTTTGATATGCTCAGAGGCCCCGCAGACCCAGAGTCTCCCCGGACACTTACTGATGAGGCTAGACATGCCTTGCAATTGGTGCAAGATGCTCTCTCAGAACAAAAGCTAAACCGTGTCACTGTTGGGGTATCTTGGTGTTTATGCATTTTACACACCTGCTACACCCCCACAGGCCTTTTCTGGCAAAAGGGAATTTTGGAGTGGCTCCATTTGTGTGCCAGTCAGCCTCGTATTGTAACCCGTTGTCATGATTTAGTGTCCACGCTAATTGCCAAAGGCCGCCTCAGGGCACTTGCTCTATTTGGCTCTGACCCACCTCTCATAATTGTTCCTTACACCACTCGAGAGCAGTCCTGGCTATGGTCGTTCTCTGACTCGTGGCAAGTGGCCCTTGCAGGCTTCTCAGAGCAGCTTTCCTGTCATTATCCTAAGGACAAAATATTGCATTTTTATTCTCAATGTAATCTCATTTTCCCCAAGACTTGTTCTTTGCAGCCAATTTCTCAAGCCGCTTTGGCATTTACAGACGGTTCCTCAAGCGGACTTGCTGCTGGACAGATTGATGATGTTTCCTTTTCTTTCCAGACACCTGAACCTTCCGCCCAAAGGGTGGAGTTGCTTGCTGTTCAACATGTGCTCTCCACTTGTGGTCAATCAGTTAATATATACTCTGACAGTCAATGTGTAGGTAACTTGATTAATCTGCTGGAGACAGCACCCTTGTCATTTTCTGACAGTTCTGCCATAATACACCTACTTCTTCCTTTACAGCAGACTATCGGCAAGCGAACTCATCAATTTTTTATTGGCCATATTCGTGCTCATACTAATTTACCCGGGCCTCTCTCTGCAGGCAACAGGCATGCTGACGCTCTCACACGTCCTGCCTTTTCCCTTTTTCAACGGGCGGAAATGTCTCATGATTTACACCACCAGGGCTCCCGTAGCCTGCAGCTGCAGTTTCATATCACCAGAGAACAGGCTCGTGCCACTGTTTAGCAATGCCCTGCTTGTGTGACTCACCTGCCTCAAACTGCACATACCGGAGTAAACCCTCGTGGCCTACAGCCTGGCCACATCTTTCATATGAATGTCACCCATATTACCTCTTTTGGTCATTTAAAATATGTGCATGTAACTATTGATGCCTTTTCTCATTTCATAATAGCTTCAGCCCATACAGGAGAGGCAGTCAAGGACGTGACTGCTCATTGTCTACTCGTGTTCTCCAGCCTAGGAGCACCAAAGATTTTGAAGACTGATAATGCCCCAGCTTACACCATTCTCCATTCCAAACCTTTTGTTCTCAATTTCAGGTGCTCCATAAGACAGGAATCCCCTATAATCCTCAGGGACAGGGAATTGTTGAACGTGCTCATGCCACCCTTAAAACTTTATTACTTAAACTAAATAATTCACCTCCTTTCTTTTGCAAGTCTCCACATGGTGTACTTCGGCATGCTCTTTATGTTCTAAATTTTTTAACCCTTGATGCCCAAAACCACTCAGCAGCTGATGGTTTCTGGAACCCAAGGGACTCAGCCACGCCTATGGTGTTATGGAAAGATTTATTCTCTAATCAGTGGAATGGCCCTGACCCAGTGTTAGTTTGGGGCAGAGGTCGTGTTTGTGTTTTTCCTAGATCTGCCCCCTCGCCTATCTGGGTACCTGAACGACATGTCAAGCATGCCCCAAAGAAGACAGTCCTCCCTAAGACCAGTGACTGTCCCATCACCCCGTCAGCCGTGCCCTCAGATAACTTCACCGAACTCCCTTCTCCTGAGAATACGACGTCTACATCTGCAGAGGACAACGCCCCGCCGTGCCCGTCGCCCTCGGCACCAGCCGCGCCTCCTCAAGAAATTCCAGTCCCGACCTGGACCCAGATGCAACACCCGGTGACTGATGCGTCGCACATTGTTTGTCAGCAAGGACACTCTCTTAATCCAGCTACTCTGTTTTTAGCCATGCTAGCTGTTTTATCTTATGATCCTATGTTGGCACGTCCGGTGTCCACCTATGATTCCCCTGACGCTTTTTGGGCCTATGTCCCTGATCCCCCTTTGCTCCGCCCTGTTACTTGGGATGACCCTGCCTTTACTGTCTTTCTTAATGACACCTCAATATTTGGCACCCCTTCAGCCCCTCATATCTATCCTCAATCAGCAAATTACACCTTCTTTGGTCAATCCATTTCTCCTCCTATGTGTTTCCATGCTGCCAAACTGTATTCTATGCACTTTTATATAGAGGATCCACATCACACACCTGTTACTACTGGTCAGCCTTCACCCTCCTATTGCTTCAATTTAGGCATTCGCCGTTCCTTTGCTCATAGCGGCCTTGGACCTCCACTCAAGGTTACTTCCCAATTTGCTGAAAATTGGGTTGCATCTTATATTGGACTCAGGGAATCGTCAGAAGTTACTCCTGCTAAACTGCCTAAATACTACCAGCAACATTGCTTTAAGACCAACAAATCTCTTGACCCTGCACCTGCCTGGCACCCTTGTTCTCCCTCTTCAGCTCATGCTCTCCGCTCCCACCTAGTTACAGGGTTTTCTCTTTATGATTGGTCTGTACCCGCTCCTCTTCTTTCTGGCCTCCATTGATATGTAACCACCGGAGCATGGAATACTCCTCTATATACCACAGCCTCTCGAAACCTATTCCTCTTTGTGGAGGCTTTTTCTGGCTCTTCATCCTCCTACAGTCTATGCAGGCCGCGAAAGCAAAATTGCTAAGCCTGTACAAACCTTCTCCATTCGTTCTTGTGTAGCTGCTCCCTATGCCCTTTTACTGGGAAAAGTGTCCTTTTATGTTCAAAATGGTCATTATACTATTTCCTCTTTGGATTGCAAAGTCAAAAATTGTACCGATGCTTCCATGTTCCCTGTTGATACAATTCTTATTGTTCATCAACCCCCTTATGTTATACTCCCAGTAAATATTTCAGGTCCTTGGTAAAATGAGCATTCATACTCTCTGTTCTACAAAACCCAATCTCTGTTCCTTCAACGCCAAAAACGGTTCCTTGGTATGCTCATTGCTGGAATTGTTGCCATTGTGTCCGTGATAGCTTCTACAGCTACAGCTGCAGTCGGTCTTACTAAATCTGTTAATACTGCTGTATATGTAAATCATTTAACAAAAAATGTTTCTATTGCTATGGGAACCCAAATGTCTATTAATGATAAATTAGAAGCTAAACTGAATGCCTTAGAACAAATTGTAACCATACTAGGGGACAAAGTGTATAACTTACGAAATAGACTTTCACTTCGCTGTCATGCTCATTATAAATATATATGTGTTACCAGCGCTCCTTACAATGGTTCCCAGGGGCAGTAGCAGCTGATTAAGGCCCATTTACACGGCATCTGGTCTCATAACAATCTCTCTCTTGACATCTCACGTTTGCAGCAAGAAATTTCGGCCATTGACCTTTCTCGGTCACAACTACCTGATGATGGCTCTATTGCTCACAGTTTTGTAGATGCCATGTCCTCTTGGGGTAAACAGTTTCATATCCCTTCTCTTTCATCACTGCTTGCCATTGCTGCTTGTTTTCTTGTATTGCTGATGTGCTTGCCATGTGTCTTCCGCCTCTTGTTCTCCACCCTCCGAGAAGTGCAATTGAAGGTGTTTACCATTCATTTGCAAAGTAAAAAACCAAGAAAGGGCAGCGGTCATGCCAAGGGCTTGAGACAGCAGCGTGACTCGCCCATCTTGGCTGCTGGACCTGTGCTGCTCTCCCCCCGCTCTCGAGGGCTGTCGAGTTGAGGGAAAAGAATGGCTAAGCCACTGAGGCAAGAACAGAATGCAGAGTAAGGGCCTGCGGTTTGTGAGGACATTGTGCTGACTGCTTCATATCCCCCTTAGTCTCTGTGTAAGCAATAGGCTTGCTGCAATTGAGGTGCCTGAGAGGGGCAAGAGACCCCTGCCCATATTTTCTCAGGAGCTGAGCCTTTGCTCTACCTCCTGATGGAAAGCATAACGAACAAGCCACCTTTAAAAACACCATTGTTTGCTTGCACTGTGTATCTTTGAAAAACGTCTATTAACTCTTGAACTGCTTTGTAAGCTATTCTCACAAGCCCCCTTAAACTGCTTTGTGAGCTGTTATCACAGGCCCATGATAACTATTTTTACGTGATTTCTGTTCCCTTTTCTGTTTGCCCCCTTTTTCTGCTGAGCTAAAGTAAATGTGACAAGAAAAAAGGTATAATAGCTGTGACCTACAGAAATAAAGTGCTGTGTGCTGCTTGACTGCACGCAGACCTCCAGACTCTACTTTCCTGGATTCTTTGTTTTCCCGCGTGCTCTCTCCCTCAGGTTGAACGAGACATCTACGTTGGTGGTCTTGGGGACTTCCGCGGGTCGGTAGCCCCCCTGGCAGATGTGCCGGACCCCGATATCATTGCCTTCCTCCTATCTCATTAGCTCTCCAAGAGAGTACAGCTTCCTATAAAAGTTACCCTAGAATGGCAAGATGTAGACCCTCCTCCATTCTCCCAGCACAGTGGGACTTCCGGAGAGTGCTGCCTAATTCCTTTACCTCAAAGCACCTGACAGAGGCAAGTGCCCGAGCAGTTAAATGTTCAATGACCTAACAGGTCCAGCATGCCCAGGGCCTAGCCCCACAGCCTAGCATCTCTCCTCCACCTGGCCTGCACTCCAGCCTTTTTCTTTTCTTTTCTTTCTTTCAGATGTAGCCACGCTCTGTTGCCCAGGCTGAAGTGCAGTGGTCCTGCAATCTTGGCTCACTACAATCTCTGCTTCCCAAGTTCAAGTGATTCTCCTGCCTCAGCCTCCCAAGTAGCTGGATTTACAGGGGCACACAACTATGCCTGGATAATTTTTGTACTTTTAGTGGAGTCAGGGTTTCACTATGTTCACCAGGCTGGTCTTGAACTCCTGACCTCCTGATCCACCTGCCTTGTCCTCCCAAAGTGCTGGGATTACAGTAGTAAGCCACCATGCCCAGCCTTAGCATTTTTTCTTCTGTCACCAATGACAGGTGATGATCACCTGTGCCACACTCTTCTTTTTGAGACAGAATCTTGTTCTGTCACCAGGCTCCAGGCTGGAGTGTAGTGATATAATCTTGGCTCACTGCAACCTCCACCTGCTGGGTTCAAGCAATTCTCCTGCCTCAGCCTCCCGAGTAGCTGGGAACACAGGCACTCACCAGCACGCCCAGCTAAGTTTTCTATTTTTTTAGTAGAGACAGGGTTTCACCATGGTCTTGATCTCTTGACCTCGTGATCTGCCCGTCTTGGCCTCCCAAAGTGCTGGGATTACAGGCGTGAGTGGCAGGAGCCACACTCACCTTTCATTCTGTTGTTCTTTTGAGACATAGTTTCCCCTTTGTCACCAAGGCTGGAGTGCAGTGGTGCAATCTCAACTCACTGAGTAAGACTTGATTTTCTATTTTCTAACTTCTGATTCAATCAAATGACAACGAGTCCAAAAAAATAAATGTATTGCTGAGGCAGCTCTTGATATCAGGAGAAAGTTGCAAAAAATAGGCCCTGGAGACCAAATAGTACTTTTTTTTTTTTTTTGGATACGAAGTTTCACTTTTGTTACCCAGACTGGAGTGCAATGGCACGATCTCGGCTCACCACAACCTCCGCCTTCTGGGTTCAAGCAATTCTCCTGACTCAGCCTCCTCAGTAGCTGGAACTACAGGCAGGCGCCACCATGCCCAGCTAATTTTTTTTTTTTTTTTGTATTTTTAATAGAGACGGGGTTTCACCTTGTTGACCAGGATGATCTCAATCTCTTGACCTCGTGATCCACCAGCCTCGGCCTCCCAAAGTGTTGGGATTATAAACGTGTGCCACCGCGCCCGGCCTACTTTTTTTTTATTTTAAAAGACAAGGTTTCACCATTTTGGTCAGGCTGGTCTTGAAATCCTGACCTCAGGTCATCCGCCTGCGTTGGCCTCCAAAGTGCTTGGATTACAGGCATGAGCCACCACGCCTGGCCCCAAATAGTACTCTTGAGAACCTCCTGAAAGTGGTCACCTCAGCCTTTTATAACAGAGATAGGAAGGCCCAGGAGGGAGGCAGGAAACACAAAAAAAAGGCAGAGGCTTTATTCCCACCATAGAAGCCCGCAAACTCCCGCATCCTTGAGGGGCACCTGTTAACTGCTACAGATGTGGTAAGCCAGGGCTTTTCAGGAAGGATGGCCCAGGCAGCATGAGGAAGCCATCTTGATCCATCTCTGGGGATGCTGGTCACAAGGTACAAAGCCAATCTCTCAAATGGTTCATCAGGACTGACAGGCCCCAGAGCTCCTATCCTTGGCTCTGGCAGTCCACACCACCATTATCAACCAAGCTCTGGGTGATCCTGGGAATCAATTGGAGAAAAGTGGACATTCTCCTGGACACTAGAGCTGCCCTCCTGGATTAAAGTTATTCTTTTGCCTCACTCTCCTGGGTAGCTGGGACTACAAGTGCACGCCACAGCACTTGCTAATTTGCATTTTTAGTAGAGACAGCGTTTCACCATATTGGACAGGGTGGTCTGAAACTCCTGACCTCATAATGTTCTTATCTTGGCCTCCCAGAGTGCTGGGATTACAAGCATCAACCACAGTGCCCTGCAGGATGGACTACTTTAAAAGATGTAGCATTAGTCATATTTGCATGTATGAGTTTTTTATTAATATATATGTATGTGTCTACATATATGTTGAGATGGAGCCTCGCTCTGTTTCCCAGGCTGGAGTGCAACGGCATGATTTTGGCTCTCTGCAACCTCCATCTCCTGTGTTTAAGTGATTCTCCTGCCTCAGCTTCTCAAGTAGCTAGGATTATAAGCCTACACCAGCATTATTGTGCTAATTTTGTTTTTTTAATAATGAACATGACTGCTATACTTTTTGTTTTTTTAGTAGAGACAGGGCTTCACCATTTTGGCCAGGCTGGTCTGGAACTCCTGACCTCACGTGATCCACTCACCTCAGCCTCTCAAAGTGCTGGTATTATAGGGGTGAGCTACCATGCCCAGTCTAATCAGTATTTGTCATTATGAACACTTATCTGTGAAAGAAAAAGAAATCTCTGGACCCCAAGATTACTAAGCCAATGGAAAAGTTGAGCTGGGAACTGTCAGATAAGCCTGCCTTCCTAAATAAGATTTTATTCCTAAATAAAATAGCTGCTGCAAATATAAAAGACCACATATCACCAGGCATGGTGGTTCACACCTGTAATCACAGCACTTTCGGAGGCTGAGGTGGGTGGATCATTTGAGGTCTAAAGTTTGAGACCACTCTGACCAACATGGTGAAACACTGTCTCCACCAAAAATACAAAAAAGGTAGCTGGGCATGGTGGCACATGCCTGTAGTCCCAGCTACTTTGGAGGCTGATGCAGGAGAATCACTTCATTCTTGAATACACTAATAGTATACTCAGGAATCGCTTGGTGGAGGTTGCAGTGAGCTGAGATTACTCCACTGTACTCCCGCCTGAGTGACAGAGCAATACTCCATCTCAAAACAAAACGAATTGAAAAAAACCCTATATACCTTTCTCACAATTTGCTTGCAAAGAAATTCCTTGTGAACAAAGAACAGACAGAACTCAGTCATCCCTCTGAGGCTCACCCGAGACAAATGCAGATCCCATAGCTTTTTCTACCCTATTGTTAATGTAAGAATGCAGATTCACTGGGCCAAAGGACATTCTGTATTCAGTGGAAGGCTAATCAAAGGCTCAAAAGAATGAAACCTTTTGTCTCTTATCTACTTGTAACCTGGAAGCCCCCACTTCCAGTTGTCCTTCCTTACTAAACCAAGATACATTTTACACATATTGATTTCTTCCTAAGATGTATCAAAGGAACCTTGGGCACATGTCTTCAGGACCTCCTGGGACTGTGTCACAGGCCTATTCTTTATACTGGCAGAATAAACTTTCCATATTAATCAAGACCTGTCTCATACACCTTTTGGGTTACACAGTCAAGGCCCTGCTAGCTAGTGCATCCCTGACTGAAGCTCCACCATTACAGAGACGCTAGTTTTTGTTTTTGTTTTTTTTGAGATGGAGTTTTGCTCTTGTTGCCCGGGTTGGAGTGCAATGGCATGATCTCAGCTCACTGCAACCTCCGCCTCCTGGGGTCAAGCAATTCTCCTGCTTCAGCCTCCTGAGTAGCTGGGATTACAGGCATGCGCCACCATGCCCGGACAATTTTGTAACTTTTAGAAGAAACAGGGTTTATCTATGCTGGTCTTTAACTACTCCGGCCCTCAGGTGGTCCGCTTACCTCTGCCTCCCAAAGTGCTCAGATTACAGGAGGGAACCACCTGACAAGGCCAGGACTTAAAAAAAAAAAATTGTTTTATCTGGGTGTCAGGTGGGCCAGTGTGTACCTGAGACAGGAGCACTAAGGTCTTGGCAGTTGTCAGACGTACCAGGCACCAGCTTCCAGCAAGTCTAGACTGTGACTGTTTCAAACTTTTTTTTTTTTCTTGAGATAGTTTCATTCTTGTCACCCAGAATGGAGAACAGTGGCACAATCTCCATTAACTGCAACCTCTGTCTCCTGGGTTCAAGTGATTCTCCTGTCTTAGCCTTTCAAGTAGCTGGAATTTACAGACATGGCTAATTTTTTTTCTATTTATATTAAAGATAGGGTTTCACCATATTGGCCAGGCTTGTCTCAAACTCCTGGCCTCAAGTGATCTGCCTGCCTTGGTCTCCTGAAGTGCTGGGATTACAAGCATCAGCCAGTCCAGCCTGTTTAAAATTCTTTGGAGTAGTGTGAAGATAGGAATAAACAGCTCCTGAATGCCAACAATGGCTGTTAGTACATTCTAGGGTAGTACAAGTTGTTGAGGCTGTTTCTTGGTCTTTCTGTGGCTCCTCTTTCAGTCGCTGGTGGAGTGGTTTTATTGGTCCTGTGATACAGTATGAATATCTGTAATGGCAGTTCAGCACAGAGTGGAAGAGGAGGTAGAAGCCAGGGCTGTGGAGGGCACCTCCTGGCATTATTCTTTGTGCTTTGCAAATATATACTTATTTTATATATATTATACATATATATACACACACACATATACATATATTAAAGAGAGAGAGATGGAGTCTCACTCTGTCACCAGGTTGGAGTTTGTTGGCACAATCTTGGCTCAGTACAACCTCCCCCTCCCAGGTTCAAATGATTCTCCTGCCTCAGCCTCCAAAGTAGCTGAGACATGGTGGTATATGCCTGTAATCCCAGGTACTCAGGAGGCTGAGGCAGAAGAATTGCCTGAACCCAAGAGGCGGAGGTTGTGGTTAGCCGAGATCCCGTCATTGTACTCCAGCCTGGGTAAGGAGAGGGAAACTCCGTCTCAAAAAAAAAAAAAAAAAAAAGATTAAAATTTTATATTGTTTATAACATTTTGAAAAACAAATGGGCTTTATGCTGATCTTTTAGAGATTGTTTGGCATATTAGGTTGTCTCTCCCCAAAAATGAAGTTTTTCCCCACTCTCCTTTGGAACTCTTTATCACTTTGGTTAAATAAATGACTTATTTTAAAATGACCTGTGATACCAAGTGTTTTTAACCTTTGATATTTTCACTGAAATTCTTTCTGGGAAACAAAGTTCCATCAAACTTTCCAAAATCAAATTAGAAGTTACGTATTCTTAAAAGAAAAGAGAAAAAGATAAAAAATAAAGTTATGTATTCTTCTTACCTAATTAGTCCTTTAATATATTACATCTCCTAAAGTTTAAAAATGAGATAATTTTGCTTATTTCTTTTTTAATTTTTTATTGCATTTTAGGTTTTGGGGTACATGAGCAGAACATGCAAGACAGTTGGGTAGGTACACACATGACAGTGTGTTTTGCTTCCTTTCTCCCCTTCACCCACATTTGGCATTTCTCCCCAGGCTATCCCTCCCCACCTCCCCCTCCCACTGGCCCTCCCCTTTTCCCCCCAATAGACCCGTGTTTAGTACTCCCCTCCCTGTGTCCATGTGTTCTCATTTTTCATCACCTGCCTATGAGTGAGAATATGCGGTATTTCATTTTCTGTTCTTGTGTCAGTTTGCTGAGGATGATGTTCTCCAGATTCATCTGTGTCCCTACAAATGACACAAACTCATCATTTCTGATTGCTGCATAATATTCCATGGTGTATATGTGCCACATTTTTCCAATCCAGTCTATTATCAATGGGTATTTGGGTTGATTCCAGGTCTTTGCTATTGTAAACAGTGCTGCAATAAACATTCGTGTACATGTGTCCTTAATTTTGCTTATTTCTTATAAAATTATACAGAAAGCATTGTTGAATGTAAAATGGTGCTTGGTTTTCTTTGGGCTGTATTTGTACAAAAACATTAGTAGGTGTTCCAAAATTTGGGAGAACTCTTATATGACTTAGTGTACATTATCAGCAATCATCATTATGTTAAATTATCGTGGGCCACAGAGGTAACACATTTCCTTGTGTGTCTTTGACTATAACTGTCCTAAAACTATTTGTCATTCACAGACAGTGGTTGTATTGCTTTGATCCTCCTTAGAAGGTGGTTTTATAATCAGCTATAAAATTCTAACAGGTGCTCTTGAATCAAAGTTTCTGATAACTTTGGAGATTGTGATGTAAGAGACAAAAACTTCAGGACTCATGAAGAGCTGAAAAGTTCATGAATATCAGGCAGAGCAAGGATTAACTGCATGCACTGAACTAACATAAGGCTGAAGTAATATACTTTTTTTTTTTTTGAGATGGAGTCTCCCTCTGTCAACAGGCATTTGAAGTGGCATGTCAGCTCACTGCAACCTCTGCCTTCCAGGTTCAAGCAATTCTTTGCCTTGGCCTCCCAAGTATCTGGAACTACAGGTGTGCATAGCCACTGCAGCCAGCTAATTTTATGTATATTTAGTAGACACAGGGTTTCACCATGTTGGCCAGGATTGTCTCAATATATTGAATTCATGAACCACCGGCCTCAGCCTCCCAAAGTGTTGGGATTACAGGCATCAGCCACTGCACCTGGTCCAGAATTGTTTTTTTCTTTTTATAAGCAACAGGGCATAACTGGAGAAACTTATTTTACCAAGGCTTTAACTGGCATAATTTAAAAAAAAAAAAAAAAAAAAAACATCAAATTTGGTTTATGGAGCCAATAATAGCCCCTTGGGAAAACTGAAATCTTCTCTACACAGTCCCTGTACTATATTTTCTACTTACGACACCCCAGGATTTTACTTTCTGAAAAACTCAGGAGTTTCAGGTTTATGTTAAAACCTCAACGAGAGAAATTCACCCAACTCAGGTATTTGATAGTACAAATACAATACTGGGCTTGACTTTCAAAGAGTTTTTTTTCTTTTCTTTCCACAGGTGCTACTGTAACCTTTTTGTTAATGAGAAAATGTTTTGCTCGTTTCTTAAGTTAAACTGCAATGGCACAATCTTAGCTCACCACAACCAGTACCTCCCAGGTTCAAGCAATTCTTTTGCCTCAGCCTTCCAAGTAGCTGGGATTACAGGCATGCACCACTATGCTCAGCTAAGTTTTTTGTAGAGACATGAGTTTCTCCATGTTGGTCAAGCTGCTCTCAAGCTCCCAACCTCAGGCAATCTGCCTGCCTCCATCTACCAAAGTGCTGAGATTAGAAGCGTGAGCCCAAGAGATTCTTTATTAGGTGGGCATTATTTATAATCTTTTCTACAGAAAACTGAAGAAATCGAAACAGAAGATGCATAATGAAAATCTAAGTAGAAAGGCTCTTTGGGGTTTTTATAGGATTGAGTAATGCATGAGGTAGGTATGTGTTCAGTCATATTCTGCATTATGAGAAGAAAACGTTTAATTTTTAAAAATATCAAATTGGTAGGGTATTTTTGTACTAATTATACTTTTATATAATAAAAGACAGTACTTTAAAAATTTTAATTATAAAGTTTTTTTTAATTTTTGAGACAAAGTTTTGCTCTGCTTACCCAGGCTGGAGTGCAATGGTGCGATCGACTCACCACAACCTCTGCCTCCGAAGTTCAAGCAATTCTCCTGCCTCAGCCTCCCGAGTCACTGGGACTAAAGGCGTGAGACAGCATGCCCAGCTTATGTTTTGTATTTTTAGTAGAGATAACATTTCATTTGTTAACCAGGATGGCCTCGATCTCTTGACCTCATGATCCACCCACCTGGGCCTCCCAAAGTGCTGGGATTATAGGGGTGAGTCACCGTGCCCGGCCCAATTCAACATTTTCTTTTTTTTTTTTTTTGAGACAGTCATGCACCAGGCACCAGACTGGAGTGCAGTGGTGCCATCTCGGCTTACTGCAACCTCCGCCTCCTGGGTTCAAGCAATTCTCCTGCCTCAGCCTCCTGAGTAGCTGGGGTGACAGGTGCACGCCACCACACCCAGCTCATTTTTGTATTTTTCGTAGACAGTTTCACCATGTTGGCCAGGATGGTCTCGATCTCCTGACCTTGTCATCCGCCCAACTCAGTCTCCCAAAGTACTCGGATTATAGGCCGCGCCCTGCCTTCAACATTTTTAACATGTTAAATACTACTGTGCATTCAGTGAAGTGTTATCATACCACAACCTTTAACCTCTTCCAACTTACTAAAGAATATAGGTAAAAGATGGTAACAATATGCTATTTAGTAATATAATGAAATAACATCTCTAGTGACTTTTCTGTGTTAGTGGCTTTCAGCTGCAAAGAAGTTGAGGAATATTTTTTCTATACGTAAAATTTTTATTGTTTTTGTTTAAATTTATTTTAATTTTCACATCATTTTGAAAAATTTCTATGAAGTATTTCACTGCTAATGTCATGAGGTTGCATTGTGTCTGTAGATTATTTTGTGTCATAGAAATATTTAACAATAATGCAAGTTCATGAATAATTATCTTAGTATGTATTACTTAATTTATATTATGTCTTTTATTGTAAAATGTATTCTTTTCATAACCAATATGAATCTCACCAATAGGATTTCTTTTATGGATAGAAAAGTTTGAAATGTTGTCAAAGGCATATGTCACATGTTTCGGCTTTGTAGAGTTTCTCTCCAGTATGAATTATTTCATGTCTTTTAAGAACTAAGGACTAGTTAAGGGTCTTGCCATATTTTTCACCCTTACAGGGTTTCTCTTCGGTGTGGATTTTCTTATGCTTAGTAAGATATGAATACCGGATATAGGTTTTGTCACATTCTCCACATCTGTATGGTTTCTCTCTTGTATGAATTCTCCTATGTCTAGTAAGGTATAAGCATATGGTAAAGGCTTTGCCACATTTTTCACATCTGTAGGGTTTCTCTCCAGTATGAATTCTCCTATGCATAGTAAGGTATGAGGATAGAGTAAAGCCTTTGCCACATTCTTCACATTTGTAGGGTCTCTCTCCAGTATGAATTCTTTTATGAACAGTAAGGTATGATAGTTTTTTAAAGTCTTTGTCACATTCTTCACATTTGTAGGGTCTCTCTCCAGTATGAATTCTTTTATGAACAGTAAGGTATGATAGTTTTTTAAAGTCTTTGCCACATTCTTCACATTTGTAGGGTTTCTCTTCAGTATGAACTATTTTATGATTAGTAAGCTCTGATGGTTGTTTAAAGGCTTTGCCACATTCTTCACATTTGTGAGGTTTCTCTCCAGTATGAATTCTCTGATGTATAGTAAGAACCGAGTACTTGCAAAAGCCTTTGCCACATTCTTCACATCTGTAGGGTTTCTCTCCTGTATGAATTCTCCTATGTCTAGTAAGGTTTATGTGTCGGTTAAAACCTCTGCCACATTCTTGACATCTGCAGGGTTTCTCTGCAGCGTGAATTCTCTTATGTCTAGTAAGGAGAAATGACCGGGTAAACGCTTTGCCGCATTCTTCACATTTGTAGGGTCTCTCCCCTGTATGAAATTTCTTATGATTAGTAAGGTTTAAGGAGTGTTTATAAGCTTTGCCACAGTCTTCACATTTGTAGGGTTTCTCTCCAGTGTGAATTCTCTTATGTGAACTAAGGTTTGAGTATAGTTTAAAAGCTCTGCCACATTCTTGACATCTGTAGGGTTTCTCTCCAGTATGAATTCTCTTATGTCTAGTAAGGTATGAGGATAGAGTAAAGCATTTACCACATTCTTCACATCTGTAGGGTTTCTCTCCAGTGTGAATTCTCTTATGTTTAGTAAGGTATGAGGATAGAGTAAAGCCTTTGCCACATTCTTCACATTTGTAGGGTTTCTCTCCAGTATGAATCCTTTTATGATTAGTAAGGAGTGAGTACTGGTTAAAAGTTTTCCCACATTCCTCACACTGGTAAAAATTCTCTCTAATATGAATTATTTTATGTTGACTTAGGTGTAAAAGCATGTAAAATGATTTGCCACATTTTTTACATTTGAAAGGTCTCTTTTCAGTAGGTCTTGTCTTCTGTCTATTTGAATTTAAGAATTTATGAAAGACTTTCACATCTTTATCACATTGAAATATTTTGCTTCTGTCAGTTTTCAAACACTGGTTTAGTTCATTATAACCTTCCTTGTGCACATTAAACTTATTCACTCTTTTACAACCTTTTCGTAACTGTAAATCCTTATGTCCACATTTTCCATTTTCTCTCAGTGTTACTTCTTGAAAAGAATCTTTTATTCCCAGCTTTGGCCAAAGGTCTTGACCAAAATGAGAACATAGAACTGAAAGAAATAAAAATAAGAAATTACTTCACTTACTAGACTCAGATAAATATATGCTACAATTCTAACCTGTAACATTATTATTATTATTATTTTATTTATTTTTTTTTTCAGACGCAGTTTCGCTCTTGTTACCCAGGCTGGAGTGCAATGGCACGATCTCGGCTCACCGCAACCTCCGCCTCCTGGGTTCAGGCAATTCTCCTGCCTCAGCCTCCTGAGTAGCTGGGATGACAGGCACATGCCACCACGCCCAGCTAATTTACCTGTAACATTATAAAAACTACATAAACAAGATAGTATATAAAAATACAAGAGGCCCTAGTTTTTCAAAGGCATTTATATGTAACAAAAACTAACCACAATACTTCTGAGAGAAAATAATAAATGAGCTAAGTGTTTCAAGTGCCCAAGTGAGCAC